AAAAAAAAAAAAGAAAAGAATAGAAAAAGTAAAAGAAAAAATCACTATATTATACTCATACCTTACTTTCATGAGGGGATTATGCAATATTTACTTTTTTTTCGAGTCTTGACTATGTATGACAAAGACATATCATAAAAGGAATTAATCCCATGAACAAATTTTGATTCTCTTGTGACCTAAAAAGCATCACAATTGAGTTACTATATTCAATTCCGGGTAAGAAGGTATATTATACGTACTTTTGTGATTTTCAACTTAAAATTGTTTTTTGTTGTAAGATACACATGAACTACATATATATAATTATTTGTACGTTCGACTACTTTTTTACCGTCCGATCATCTACAAAAATGGACATGTGTATGGTCAAGAAGTGGTCGAACGTACAAATAGTAACTGTATATGTAGTTTACGTTGCATTTTACAACAAAAAATATATTAAGTTGAAAATTCTGAAAGCAAGTACATATTGAAAAAAATTATTTTCTCTAATATTAGACTAAATTCTATCATCAATTTACCTTGAAATATTATTGCTTTTGGATAGACATGAAGAAGATCAAAGAATGTGCAACTAGGGTTGGTCTATGATTTAAATAATAATCATGAAACTTTGACTACACGCTTTGTTAGTAAGTCAAAACAATCTTAAACGTGGATTATGATATTTTTTTTGCATATTATCTTCAATTCAAAGGTTTTATATATATAATATATTGCAGATTAAATATCAACATTTGAATTTAATATCAATTTAACAATAAATAAGTAAAAGTTGGAATAATTCACATAATCAAATAATTATTCTTTTACTAATGAACAAAAATTACTAATTAATTACCTAAAAAAATAGGAAAAATAAAATAAAAATTTATTTTGGCCTAATAATCTAATAAAACAGCAGCTTCAAAGTGGCGTGCCATGGGCCACTTGTACCTATCAAATAAAAAGTAGTACTCCTATTGGGCAATAGAAATTTTTCGTCTGCCATTATTTGTCTTCTGTTAATGGATAACGCCAGGGAATATTTCTAGGTACCAAATCAAACCCTGAATAAAATGCATCGTGAGTTCCCTATTAACGAGTTGTACGTTTACTCTGTAACAGGCAATATTTGCCTGGATTTGAGAAAACCTCGAAATTACAAATGCAAACGCGATTACGCGAACCATTTTAGCTGAAACCCATCACTTATTATTTGATAAATTTCTCTCTTTATATAATCTCGCAGCCCAGTGAAAAAAGCTCGGATTTTGAGGTGTAGAAAGATGTTAAATTCAACGACATTTATTTTAGTTTTCTGTTCATTGATTTTTTTCCTCCGCCATTAAAACTCTTGTCATTTGCAGCTGCGTGAATATTGGGAGTGTGTTCCTTTTGGTTTGCTGTGCTATTTTTCTGGGTTTTTTTAGTTTTGGGCGTGATCGTTGCTAGGGTTTGAATTGAAGGGCTGTCCTGAATCTTGATCCTGTTTGTTCAAAGATTGAATTTTTATGTTGAGAGATTCACCCAGCGTGCGACTCGGGTCGACCAACGGATTAGTCGGAGCATATCTCCAGATACCGTGGCTGGCTACAAAAAAAAAAAGATTGAATTTTTATGTTGGGTCTTGTTCGTTATATGGGGAATTTTAGTTTATTTATTTATTTTTTTTCCAATTTAATTTGTTATTTCTGGGTCCAAAACAGTGGCTTTGAAGGGGACATGTTTATACCTCTATTGAATGGGTATTTATTTTAGTTATAGCATGACATTAGCATAAATTGCATGTTACGTGTCTATTTTTGCTTAGAGAAGCTTTCTTAAGAATTTCTATTGTGGGGAGCTTCATAAATTTATGTGTGCTTAAGGGAAAGTAAATGTAATAAGGGTATAAAGGGAGGAGAATAAGGCTGATGCTGTGTTTTTGTCCAAACTCTAAACAAATTGAAGAGTTTTAACTTTGAGACTGATGCTGGTAAAAGAAGAACAAAAAACTGATTATTTTCGGTTCGGTTATGGTGTTGGTTATTCATCGAATTTTTGTCGATGAACAATAATTTCAGGTTATTGGGATGAGTATACGGATGACATAGCTGTTTGTGACATGATAAATTGACCTGCAAAGTTCATATCTATCTTTGCTGAGGAGCTTGCAAAAATGTCTAATGGAGATGTTAGAAAAGTCTCTCTACAGGATATACAGCTGGTGAGTTTTCTGGTCTGGTTTGTTTTTATTCTCTTAATTTCTTTTTTTCCATTTATATGAATCTTGTAAGAAACTTGGTATATCTTTTGTCACATCTTGTGAAGCCCCTCTAGACATTATAGCTAAACTTCATTCTCCACTTGTTATCAGGTTCAAAATCTTATCGAGAGGTGCCTTCAGCTTTACATGAGCCAGAGGGAAGTCGTGAATACCTTATTGCACCAGGCAAAAATCGAGCCTGGTTTCACAGAGCTCGGTAATTTTATTCAATTTGTCAATCTGTTTTTCGTGTGGGGGATTTAGTGAAATCTGCTATTTCTTGTATTTTCCGTATGATTAAAATTTTTACTCCTCCCACTGCCCAATATATGCGTGTATGTGTGCCGGTATTATTTATTCAGGCGTTTTGCTACGATTTACTACGTTTTGTAAAATTCCAAAGTACTCAAATAACACCTGAACCACCGTACAGTATGGCAAAAGCTTGAAGCCGAAAATCAGGAATTTTTCAGGGCATATCATCTGAGACTAAGAGTGAAGGATCAGATATTACAATTCAATCAGTTGCTCGAGAGACAGGTTGAGCTTATGCGCCAAATAACTCAGCCTGAAGTTTTTTCGGTTTCTCACTCAAATGGGTCTCATATTCACCCAAGTAAAGCTTCTTTTGCAATCTTACTCGAGCTAGGTACCTTTTTTTCTATGGATTTTCAGTTTTATAAGATGTTCATTTTTTTTTTTTCAGTGCACAACAACACGGCTTACCGGGCCCCACAACATTCTATACCATCAATAAAGCCCGAAAACTTGCATCAGCAACAAGTCATAAACTCCATTCCTGATGTCTACTCAAATGGGTCACACCACATACAACAGCAGCCCATGCAAGTTGCGGTCAATATCATATCGGGCCAATGCCTAAATACGGGGTTGATGCAAGAATCAAATGTTGGGCCGGTAAAAGCAGAATGTGGCTACACAAGTGATCCACATTCACCACTCGTGTTTGGAGCCGAGAATAATCTAATAGAATCTCATAACCCGATTGGGGATGCTTCGAGCTCCTTTAATGGTGGGGAGATGAGTTCTCGGGCATTGAACGAGATTTTGGAAAATGAGACAAACTCGTTTGGGATTTTCGGACAGATGTCTCGAAACTTTAGTTTATCAGACTTGACGGCTGGTTTTTCTAACGGTACTGGTTGGCTAATCTATCTAGAAAAAAATGTTTGATTAAACAAGTAAAATTATAAAAATTTTGGAAGGACTTATTACATTGTTTCACTTGATATTATCAGATATTCTGGAGAGCTATCCTCGATCTCCATTCTTAGGAACAGATGCAAATTTCATGGACACTCATATTGTGGGAGAACAGCAAGGTAACATATCTTTCAGGTTTAGCATGGTCTGTGATGTAAGAATGGTAATAAATGTTATCAACATTTTTATTATTATTATTTTTATTTTTTTCCTTTCGAGCAGGCATGAGGACGATGAACTCAGTATCCGGGGAGTTTAGTTATGAAGATTTTGCCAGTAATTGAAGTAAATGCTGAAATGGGTACAGTTTTTTACATTGTGTTTGCTTTGTTGTTTTGCATTAGAATAATCTACATTGTGTTTGCTTTGTTGTTGTGTGATTCTTCTCCCTCTTGATAATATTCTCGAATGTTGATAGTCATGTCCCATCTAATTTTCACTTTTCCTTGTGATTTTGTTGTTCCAGGGCCGGTCTCTTGGTTCGAATAGAGGTTACTGTAAATAACTTTCGAGAATTTTTTATGATTCAAGCTGAAGGAAGGACAACTTTTTGTCCATGCTTACCGGGTAATAGTGTAATGGTGATTTTAGTTTGCAGGATTTAGTTAGAAGTACAACTGTACAAGCAAGGATTTGTCCATGTTTTATTGATTTCTTTTCCATTAATTAGGTCTTAACCAGAAATTATCAGAATCATGTATTAACATATTTTATTGTGTCCTGTGAAACAAATTTGCAGTCAAGGAGTTGGAAGAAAATGTATTTTTATTGTTATTTTTTCAGAAAGTTTTATTAGCTATCGCATAGTATAGATTTACTGTCGAACACATACTGCAGATTCAAGATTTTAGCGAAGTAAATTTGTCATCAAGTTTAGTAAAAGGTAGTTAAGGTACAATTTTATTATGAAAAATTATGAACTAATAATATACCAAAATCACATATTTTTTATAAGATGAGGTGTTCATAATAAGGAAAAAAAAAATTTAAAGTGAAAAATTCACTCACTAAATGGCTTTTACCACATTCGAGCTGAACTTGGCCTTACATGCCAAATGGTGCATCAATCTATAGATTCTATACACAACCATTTAAACTAAGTCACAAGTCATACAACAAAGATCTAATAAAATCTGCTAAATTTCCAAACCAAACTGCTCCATCTCTACACAAAGGGATTGCATGAAATCGAACATTCTTTTTGTAAAATAAAAGCTTCTTGTCACTTTTCACGTCTCGGTTTACCTGCATTTCACAATTCTTAGTTCACAGGGCCTCAAGAGGTATTCAGAATTTGAAGATATAACTGAAAAACGATCATTACTTCACGTATACCTTCTCTTTGCCCTTGTGCCTTTTCTAGTAGAGCTGTCGATAACATTCTGAGACCTCGTGCTGCTTTTCTTTATTCTAGATTTAGAAGCACCTGTAATTAACAACATTATATTAGCATCTATTTCAGAATAATCTCATAAGAAACCATATTTGGAATTTTCCATGTTTGGTTGACCTCTTAGATTAACAAGAGGCGATTGGACCTCATCTTCATCCATTTCCAACTCTGTCATCTCACTAGAAGCAACCGAACGTGTTGTTCTTGATTTAGCCGCTCTTGATCTTGGACGTAAGCTTTCGGCATCATCAGTTGGCTCATCAGCTTCTTCTTTTACTATCGAATCTTGAAACGGGACGTCACAATAAATTTACCAATGAGTGAAATAATATAAATCTTGAAACTGAAAACGAATATCAAGGTGAATATAAATTGACGAGATAATTAGGTCTATTCGTAATTCGGCTATTTTATTTTTTTATTTTTGAAAAAAAACTACCTTCGGTGATTTCAGATTCACCACTTTCTTCGACATCTTTCTTGACTGGCATGAAGGTACCTAAGCTGCCAACTTTTTGTTGATGTGCTTGTGCATTCTTTTCAGTTAAAACTTGTTCCTTCTTCTCACTATGGAACTTATTGATCTTTTCCTCAAATTCCTCGATGATTGATTTTAATTCTGGTTTTGCAAATTTCTTTGCCTGGAAGAACACGTCACGAAAAATGCAAAATATGTAGGTAAATTTACTGTCATTACCTTATTAAAGAGATGAGACACCAGAAAACAAGTCAATACCTTATTAATTATATTCTTAAAATGGTCCATCACAATTTCCTCAGATAGGACATGTTCATATGCCTTAAAGGACTCCATAAGCTTCCTAATACTCTTCTCAGTGAATGATAGCTGAGAAAGGCAGTAAGAAATATACTCCCACTGCTTGATATCTGCATAAGAATGAATTTAAGTAAAAGAACACAAGTGAGTAGCATAAGAAAATCCCATCAAAACTGAACTAATAGGCAATAATATATTACCTGAGACACCAGTAAACCTATTGCATAACTTTTCAACAAGAGATTCCATTTGTTTATCCTGGAAAGGATAGTCAGATTCAGTCACTTAATCTCGAAAAGCTATTAATAGCAGGATAAAAGACAAAATATAGCCTGTAGTACCTTCTTGATAGAGCCAATTAGAAATTGCATAATGTTGCAGAAAGTCTCCCCATTCAGATTTTGGCAGGATAATTTTCCAAGGATGTCCGGAAGTAGATTATATATAGGGTTGTTCCCTAAAATGAAATCGAAAGTCATCGATCATAGTCCAATACACAGATGCAAACAAAGAAAATCCATATAAGATAGGAGGAAACCACAAAATCCACCTTTTTTCGATAGCTCATGAAAAAATAGTTTGGCTAAATTTGAAATCCTTTCATCTTCATCTTCTAGTCTCATGGCCATTTCATTAATGTAGCCTTTCACCTAAATATTTCAGGGTCAAAAATCAATACCAAAGGTCTGCCAACTAGAAAAAGAACAAGGGACGGTTGGTCAAACCTTCATCATGTCGTTCAATATAAGATGAGAAAGAACCAACACAGCATTCTTTCTGACAGACACGGACTGATCTCGAAGGCGTGCATACATGTTTTCAGTCCAAGGCTCTAACAGGTTTGGAAAACGAACCGCCAAATCCCCAAGGGCTATTGTGCAATTTGAACGGACGGTCTCTGAAGGTGCATTCTCCACGACAGTGAAAAGTAGTTGAAGATTTGACTCACTGAGAAATGAAGTGCAGATGACAATAAGAGAACTATGCTATGTTTCTTAAGGCAAACATAAAAATGAGTATCAGTCATTTTAATACCAGAACTCAGCGTCAATAATCATTAAACGGCATAAAGCAAGCATTCCAGCTGCCTGCAGTTCAGGATGCTAAAACATGCGAAAAATGTCATTTCAGTTCATAAAAGACAATAGACATTCAAAGAATAAAAAACAAGTGGATAAGAGCAATCACCTTCTGCATTAAACTGAAATTTCTGCATAACTTAGACAGAAATGGCGCACAGTGCCCAATCAAATTTTTTCCATTGCTACCACCATAAACTATTTCTTTTTCTGTTCGTTCAGCTAGACTATCAAGCACTGCATCCTCAGAGGCTGCGAGGCCTAATTCTGAATTGATGCCAGCATCCTGCGAAAGATTACCAGAACAATTATAAATAAGCATCCAAACAAGTAATGCAAGTAGAGCATTATCATCGCCATCATCAAACAGTATTGCTAACCTTTGGTGCATCAGATGATGAATCCACGTCAAGTGACTTGCCCTCAGCATTCATTTTCTCTTTCTTCGCTCTCAATTTCTGAACTTTACGAATAGAAGACTCGATATAGACCAACTGATTCATGGCAACATGACTAACCACAAATAGGTATCTGCTGATTTTGGCAACTTGAACTGTGGTCAAGACATTGGAGCTGTCAGAAACTATTTCGGTTTGCAAATCACTTCCTTCACTTGGATCAAATACAGACCTGAGGGATTTTTTTACAATATTTGCGGCTATTGTTTCAGGAGTAGGATGAATATTGTAAAGAGCAGTTATTGCTCTATCTGCAGCAGCGTACCAGATATTTTCTGGAAGAGAAAAACCAGACACCAAGCTTTCTAAAATACCAAAAACACGGTTTCCATTTGTTGACAACAATTTTTTCTTATCTTCTTCAGACAGCCGATATAATACTAAGCATGCTGTCCGAGCAAGCAGTGGTTCCACTTTTGCCCAACGACCGAATCCAATGTCAACAATGTCTTGTAGGTGAGAGCTGAGGATATTGGGTGAAGATTTTGCTGCCATGCACAGCACTGATAAAGCACCACGGCTTTGTTGAGCAGTAGTCCCATTAATATTGAAACAAAAAAAATCCCATAGCGCTGACAACTGGAGAAGAAAGACAAGTGTCACAGAAATATACTGCTCTTAAGAAAATGGCAAAAGAAACGCATTTTGCAATTATAGCCCAAAAAAAAGGATAATCTTAAATCTGAATTCCAAAGCACATATCTGACTCCTCTATGATCGATAGATTAAACCAAAAGGAGATGCTTCAAATGCAACCTTGAAAAAATAGTATATAATTTACTTAGTTACAAAATATTGGATTTCAAATGTTAAGAAAGGACTCTACCATGCCCGGAGTTATGTCTCCTTTGGATACCAATGCTCCAAGGACGAATTCCAGGGCTGCAAGATCTCCAATATTTGATTCTATGGCAAGATTCAAAAGGTTTTTCGCAGTTTCCACTGGGTTCTTCCTTATATATATTGTGATGAAAGCATCTTCAACAGCCTGATAAATCGATTTATCTTGAGAAAACACCTGTTGAGAATAAAAAATCAGATTCCCCTCATTAAAAGTAATAATAATAAAACATTTGTTCAAAAGAGGAGCTGAAAGGACTGGAGGTTCATGTGAAAAGAAAAACTATATCAGGCTTCAGAAATCATAATGATGATCATAAGGAGACATTACCAAAGGCAGCATCTTGCGTAAACATTCTTCTGATCCATCAATTTGGAACTGTTTGCATCTCATGAGCAAAAGAATAGTATTCTCCACATCACTTGAAGATGAAGAAGCCATTAACTGAACAAGGGTTGGCATTGTGGCTGACATACAATTCGAGAATCTCAAGCCAGCTTCGAGCGAAGCAACCAAGGTCCGTGTTTGCTCCACATTCCCAAAATCCGGTACTGAATTGTCCATCTGACGTGTTCCATCTGTCATGTCACCTGCGCAGCTATCTGTCAAACTATCTTGATTCTTGGCTTCACCTCCAACCTCTTTATCATCTTCAACCTTGTTATCTCCATGAGAAACATCATAATCTGGCTGGAGCTCATCTGAGCTTTCAGGCGGACATTTTGGCGCAAGATCATTCAACTTCTTCTTGTACTGTTCTAAGGTTGCCTCAAAAGAAGCTGCTTTAAGTTGGGGCCCGAAAGGGTTGTGCTGCAACATCATGATGAGTAAATTAAGTGCTGATTTTCTGACTATAGCACTTTTGTCTTCTAACCTTCCGGAAGCTACTGTTGCAACCTCGTTCCACAGACCAATCGAGATAGAATGCTCTTCACATAATTCAGCCCACACCTGAAGAACCCGACTCCTAGTATAAGCTGATACATCACGACACCTTTCCAACAAAATTTCCAGCATTGCCTGTTTTGTACGAAGACGAATGGATTTGGAGCTAACTTCACCCTCAACATCATTAAAAGCCTTCGCTATTAACTTACCCAACACTGAAACAAGCGCATTCCTTATTTTGTAAGATTCTCCACCAAAATGTGGCACCAATAAGCCAATGTTTGTCGAAAGCAGCTTTGGCAATCTATCAGAAAGCTCAACAAGAAATCGCCCAATATTTTCAGCTCCAACAGTGTCTTTAACGTAGTCTTTTGGGTTAGTCCTTCCAATCTCACGAATAAGGGAAATTGCCATGCTTCCATCAGCGTATTTCTTTTCAGCTCCAGCAACAGCATCGGCCAAGTGGGTAACAGAAAAATCGTATTTATGAATCAGGTGCAGCATGGAAGCACATGAATGTGCTACATAGTGATACTTAGTAGCACAACTCCCAATTATACGGCACAAGGCATCTTTTGCATCAGAGTCCTTAAGCAGTGATGCATTCTCAAACATCAGAAATGCATTTCTACAACAAGCCAGTGTTTAAGTCAGATATAGCCATCCTCAATATAGGTAAGTTCTGAAACACAGTAACAACTTTCAACTCAACTTACTTCATAATGAAGGATAAGTAATTTTCATCTGGATCAGATGAACCAAACAGCAAAGAGAGGTTGATCTCAAGAGAGTTGGCAATTAAATTCAATATTCTGCCCCTCTGAGGCTCCCAATTCCATGAATTCACAAGCTTTTTGCTCCTACCAGAAGCAGGCACCTAGGCAATTAAACAAGGTTAGTAATGCCTGCTACCGTAAATCAAATACTACCTACCACTCATATGAGAAGCAAACAGCTAGAGTTACGGCTATGGTTTGCCTATTCTTCCCAAAGAACTTACACATCTAAATGATGAATCTATAAAACTTAACCCATCAGAATAAGAAAAGACATTTCATAATCAATTAGTGACATTTTCACATCTAATCGACAAGAGCATTGTCAGGTGAACCCACCTCAAGTTACTAGTCAAGAACTCAGGTGTTCATCAATAAAATGAATGCGACCTAATGAATAATTCATACTCAACAATTGGGGGAAACGGCAATCTAAATAAAACTATTGTCCTAGCCATGCTACCTTGGTTGCATTGCTGGAAGAACTGACACCCAATTCCTCGGCTAGAACAATGTGCACGAGGAAAAACGAGTAAATCTTAAATGCATTCCGATGGGATCCGAGTCGATCTGCCCCCAGCTGTTCACCAGCACAGTCATCACCTTCATCCTGCTCCTCCTCCCGCGAAAGGGACGCCCGAGACCGAGACAGTGACTCGACATTCGGCAAGAGGACACTGAAATTGGACCTCAAGGACTCCACCAGATTGAACTTGCAGCCGGGGCTGAGGCTCGCGAAGCCCTTCACTAGAGAGTACACGCGGTCGAAAACCTCCTGCTCCTCCACGCAGAACAATTCCTTGTCCGAAAGATCGAACGAAACAGCTATTTTCGGGGAAAAAAAAATGATGTGAAAATTTAAACTGAATTTGGGGGCAATTCTGAATTAGGAATCGATGGAGGAGGGTTAGAAAATACTGACCTTTCACGAATTCTTCGAGCTCCGGGGGGCGGAGGGAGGATACCGGAAATGGGTTTTGGACGGTGAGGCGCGTGTAGCTTGACTCGCTGTCGTCTTCCTCCAGCGAGGTGAGGGCTTGAGGGAAGATGAAAGGTGGTGCCATTTTCAGAGAGGAGAGAGATTCTGTGTTGTGTGTGTTTGTGTGTTTGAACTTTGAAATGAAATCTGAAGGTTTTGAAGGGCGGGAAAGATAACAAACAAATGGGCCTAATTTCAGATTCAACCCAACTTTATATAGTACTATAAAACTAGGCCTATTGGGTTATTTACTTGGGCTTTTTCATATGTTAATGCAAAATTTATTAAAAAAATGAATATAAACACAAAACAGAATCATAAATAAATTATTTTTAAATGATTCAATAATTAAATAAAACAATAGTTTATTTTAGAACTCAATTACGAAACTAAAGCCTACAAATCACCCATTTGTAAACAATAAAAATTATCATATTTGTATTTTAGAAATAAATACTTGGTAAATGCTCAAATGAAAATGAATTTACACGTGGATATAGTCATTTTCTCATATATTTTTTTTTCTTTTCCT